ATCGTTTCCGTAAACACGAGGTTTAGCGCGCATGCGCGACTCACGTTAACGCCATCGAGAGTCAGTGTCATTGGCAAACTGTATTACCCGAGAGAATATTATCGAACAAGATTTCAAAAATTGAATTTTTCAAAACGCAACCATAATAATTTCCAAATAAATTACTGTATATATTTTTTATCCCAAATTTACTCTCATGGTATCTCAAAGTGAAATATCACGAGAAACGGCTTGAATTACTATAAAATGGATTACGGTACTGGAATTAAAAAAAAAATGGCGGCACAGACGAGCACGACATAGAAAGACGAAAAGAAGGTAATACACGACGGTGGGGGTGAAAGGAGTATGAAGTTGAAGCGGAGAAGGGAGGGGGGTGACGGTGAAGGATCGAGGAGAGGGACGAATAAGAGAGAGAGAGAGAGAGAGAAATGCGCAAGAGAAGTGGAGTGGTCCGAGGGCAAACGGGAAACTCGCTCGAGTGACCCAGTGGCCCAGATCGCGAAAAGATCCAACCAGCGCGTTCGTACAAAAGGCCGTTCCTCGAATTAACGTGGAATTATCGCAACGCGCGGAAAGCGTCGCGACGTCATTTTCACCACCGAGGTGTTACACGCGTAAGACATTACACGAGCGTAAACTAGATCATTGGACGAGACTACAGCTGATCTTGCAGATCCAGGTCTCTTTTTTAAATAAATGTAAAAATGCCTCAAGAGACGAACCGGTAAGATTTCAACGTTACAAGGTCAACATTGTCACCTCGCGAAAAAGAGGTTAACGACGCTTTCTTCATATCTATCGACTAATTACTAATTGAATTAAAAACCAACTTTGCACTAAGCACGAACCACCGTCAATTTCATGCCAATAAATTTTTAAGGTCGACCGACGTAGGTGACTAGTGTTAAAAAAAAAAAAAAAAAAAAAAAAAAAAAAAAAAAAAAAAAAAAAAAAAAAAAAAAAAAAAGAAAAAACGAGAGAAAACGATGACGGTGTCAAAAATCCATGACACCTTCGGACGGCAAGCGTCTCTAACGTCGACCAAACATAACTCACGAGCTATCGTAGTGCACTGGAAGTCTCATGGTCGTCACTTCCATAGAACAGTCATGGTCAGACAACCACGGCAAGCGTGCCTTCCTGTATCGCGCAATTCCTTCGTTATCGTCGTCATTCCCAATGCGCTACATAGCCGGTGTTGCCATTACGACGCCAGGCGTCTAGGGGGAGGGTCGGGGGTAGGTCGCCATGCCCCCCGTACACATCCAACAAGTTAACCCAGTACCAAAAGACCCCGACGCAGCCTTTTTCGTGTCTGATAAAATCCTGGCTATCCTTGAGGCGTTGCGACGCCGAGTACACAGGCGTCGGAATTCCGCGGTAGCGTCGGCCTTCCGCACGCAAGTGAGACGGCGACGGGAGCAGGAAGAAAGAAAAAAGAAAAAAAGTAAACGTGACCAAAAGAACGAGGTTTCTCGCACCGCGATAAATTAAGCCGCGCAAGGCCGTACCAAGTACACGTAATGCCTTCTCCCTTTGTGTCTCCCTCTTGCCTGCCCTACCGATCACATGTAGATTTTTTATAACCAAATTGTCGGGTCGATCGATCAATGCAAAACGCTCGTAATTCAATGGTCACGAACCAAATTTAACGTTACTCGATATTTTTGAGATATGGCAAAAAAATTTTTTGTAGCAAAAATTTTTTTTCACCCACGTATATTGGGCTTTGTTATGACTCTCAGGAGCGTATCTAGGTCGAGAGGGTCCCCGTACGAGGTAAGTGGTCAGGCCCGTTATCAGGCCCGTATGCCTTTACAGTGTTGCAAAGCGAGGGCACTGGCTCGTAGGACCCTACCAAGGTACCAGAGGTACTGCTGGAGGTTACCTCCCGTGCGTTTTCCGTGCTCGCGCCACCTCCTCTTGTTATGTAACGATGTTAACTGTAAATATTTACCGGAGCCCCGAGAGAGCGCGACGTGCGCGTCGGTACGGAAAGTAGACCGAAAGAAGGTAGGAGGCCGCGTTTAAAAATACAAAAGTGGAACGTTGTCTCGTAAACGCCTCTACAGACTTGTCCCACGGTCTAGTCAGTTCTGGCCTCTCGTTGGCTATTTTCACTATTTCCATCCTCGGCGAGCCCTGTGTTACACGCAAGGGTTCGTCCTTGTAAATTGGCTTTTTTCTTTCACCCTGTGCTCAGGAGTCAAGAGCGAGCTGTTAACGCTTACGACAGCAGTGACGTCACTGGAAAATTTAACGAGGATCGATAAGAATCTTAGATTTATTTCCGATGACTTTTCGCAATCTAGGTCGAACGCGAAGAAAGAAAGTCCTATTTCGCAGTCTACTAAATTCGGAGATGTAACGGGCAGGGAGTTTTTGTATCTTGCGATTGTTTGATCATCTCGTTGAAACTGCTTTTTCCATAGATTTTCGATAATCGATTATCGCTCTGCGGATCGACCAGATGATTCGAGATATCTGTCAGGGACGATTCTGATTTTTTTTAATGCTACTTTTTTTTTCTTCCTATTTCCCATACCTGCCGTGCGTGCGAGAGAGAGAGTCTTATTGGACGTCGCGTGCGTTAGAGAAGGACGAACATAGCGGATCATCGAAAAGGCTCGTCTTTCCTCTTTCGATTTTACCGAGCTTCGGATTGGTCATCGTATTATCGTTACTGCCGAATGATTTGTAATATCGGTACTTTTTTCATTGGTATCCCTTGCAGCCAATTTTTCATCGGGTACTCGAATACATATATTTTATTCCGTTCCGCGTGATCGTTATGGATCTCGGGAGTCATTGTCAAAAAAATGACGAATTTTTGTTCCTCGGTTACTTTTAATAGCCTTGGCATTCCGAATGTCAACTAACGGGGTGTTCAGTGTTCTCGGGCGTGTAACTGACAATCAAGCAGCGCCCGGTAAGAAATGAAATCTGGACTCTATAGCGGTATCCCGGTAATTCGGTAGTGGGCGTGTGTAGGTCTTATTGATCATTCGAGCAAATCGATCGTCATTCATCGCTTGAGATACGGCGAATCGTTAAAATTTAGCGAGACACCGTTAACGCAAGAAACGGCGAAAGAGGCTTAAATTTACGCCTCGGACATATTTTTCCTATCCAATTTCTAAAAAAAAAGTGTCGCCGAAAAAAGAGAGGGAGAAAAAAAAGAATCCAACATAAAAACAGTCGTCCTCGTGATTTTTCGGAGACGAGCGTCGCGACGTCCAGTCTAAATCGACGCCCCGTCCCGAAATTGGGGTTTTGGGACATGAATTGCGTCACCCGTGTTCGAGAACTTAGCCACTCTCGTGTTCTCTGGGTCATTCGATTCTTTAAATAAAATAGAAGAAAAAAAAAAAAGAAGAAATTCAACCCAACCACCCGCGATATCATCAGCAAATTCCCATATTCGAGACGCACCTATGAAAAATATTCATCGATTCGGTTATCGAAAAAAAAAAAATCGTCAAGACTCTCCAAAAAAAAAGGAAGCCACTACTTCATATCTTTAAACATATTACGCCAGTGCTTACAATCCACCGTATTACGTTGAGGATCCGCCTAATAATGTAAGCCGTTACATGTGCACTTTCTTACGCCACCCGAAACGCCGCTCGGTATGACAACAAAACTGGCGCAGGACGTGAAAGTAGCCAACGGGTTCGACAGCACAGAGCATACACAGCGAATACAAGGAAGACAGTGAAAACCCATTTGTACAGCTTATTCCATACTCTGGCGATATGTCATTCTCTCCAATCTCCCAGCGTGTCGTCATCGGCCACAATGGCAGCCATTACAGAAGCCAGTCAGAGCCGGGCATTAAATCTCGCACCCAAGAAACTTCCTCGCATTGAACTTGTACGCTCAAGGATCCCGTGACCCGGAAGAACCCTGGCCACCAAAACAGATTTCACAAGCGTGGCACGGTTTCGCGCTTGCTCCTCGCTTCTCTCCTGCCCCCCCGCGCCCCAGCGGGTCGCCTACACTCACCCAAATGAGTACAAGCCGCTCGTGTAACGTGCTTGAGAGAGAGAGAGAGAGAGAGAGACAGGCAAAAGTTGGTGAGAGGTAAGAGTTACTTATTTCGTGTCTTAGTACAAGCCGCTCGTGTAACGTGCTTGATCGCTTCTCTCCTGCCCCCCCGCGCCCCAGCGGGTCGCCTACACTCACCCAAATGAGTACAAGCCGCTCGTGTAACGTGCTTGAGAGAGAGAGAGAGAGAGAGAGACAGGCAAAAGTTGGTGAGAGGTAAGAGTTACTTATTTCGTGTCTTTCCATGCAACCAGGCAGCTGCTCCAGGTAGTACAACGGTCTTGTATAATCAGAAATACATAGTCAAGGCAGCCACCATAATCATCAGGTCGAATTCCAGGAGCGTTTTTCTCGTTAACCGTACGATGAGTCCTCTCTCTCTCTCTCTCTCTCTCTCTTTCTCTTATAACGTACCGCTAGTCCCTCAGTTATGAAACGGGGTATGGGTTACGAAACCCGAGGACGTAATATCATCGCGATGTAGGCGAGCACGGCTTTGCCCGGAGCCAGAGCGACTCCTGGTGTACCGTTAGATTTTCTCTACACGTCCGAAGGAGTTTGCGAACGGCGTCGTACGTTTCCTAGCAGCCGAGTCGCTGCTCTTGATAGCAGGTACTGGAAGACGTGACGGTAAGGTAGAGATCTTCGATACCTGAAATCATTAAATTAACGCGTGTACAATAGTCATGTAAATTGTAATTAGGTAATTAAATGTAAATATCAATCCGCACGAGAAATCATTATACTTTTACCTGACTGGGAAACGTTCTCGTCCGGTTGTTACCATTTCAAAAGAATATCTACCCAAGTGTAAGGTTAGGTTCAAGTAAACCTCGTAGCAGATGGCGCTGCCGTAGTTTTTTTTTTCAAACGGTCCCGGAGAAAGTGGATGGCGTTACCATCCGAACGTTTACTGACCTACATTACCCTCGAGCAAGATCATCCGCTTGCCCCTCCCCCCCCCTCCTCCCGTACTGCCACCCATACAATGACTCCGTACGTATCGTATAATACGAAAGCACAGTTATCTTACTGACTGTCTGACCAATAAATGACTAACTGGATACCGATCCTCGTCTCTTTCGACGTCGAAGGTCGTCGGTGGTTGACCTGAAAAGAAAAAAAGAAATAATAATTAAGAGACCGTCGCTTTATTCTATAATTACCCGAACGCTCGGTTTGTAAAACTTAAGTTGTGAGGAGGTTAAGGAGGCGTCACCGAAGGGGGGTGGAAGGAAAGACAGGACCCCTCTCATAGTCCCGGCGAGCTGATCTAGCTGATCCGCAACTAACGCGAGAGACAAGCTTATTTCGGGACTGGGCTAACCAATCAAGGTAACCGTCCGTGACACGTGCTGACCGATTTTTCAAGCCGGCAATCGCTATAGGCAACCTCGCAGTTCATTGAGTCTGCGCTTTCATTGTTCCATTTCGCGCGAGCGACATTGGCCGCCATGTTGTTGCATATTTCGGCTGATTTCGAAATATGAAAAGAAAAAAAAAAAAAAAAGAAAAGACGAAATGGTC